AAGAAAACAACCTGTAGTATGTGGCCAGTGTAAGAATGCCTAGGGAACCAGCAAGGTGGCCCGTGAAGGCAGGTAGGGTAACAGGCCCGTGTACCTGCTCCCATTCTTTTCCCAAGCCTGTAGCTTCAGACATAGAGATACACAGACAGTCCGTGCACCCAGTTCCATGAGTCAGGCAGCGGGTGGCACTTCAGGATTCAGGCGTGCTTTCTAAACCTGTGACAAGTCAAACTCACAAAGCCACATTTGTAGAAAGCCATATTTGCAGAACTACAACAAACTGGAGAGCCATCAAATGGGTGAAGATAAACGGACACAGTCATTGGACTGATAGAAAAAAGAATCTTATGTCAGAGTCTGGAAAGGTGGGCTAAGATTTAGCAGGGGCTTGCTCTTCCTAAAACAGCAAGGACGGGCTGGACTGCATTCCTGCAGCATGAAATGCCTTTATTAAACTTAACAGTGAATAAGTCAACGGAGGAACTTAATAGGCAGGTTTCCCCTCCCCGTTGTTGAATATTCTAATATTTTGATGTTTGTCAACAGCTGCCCCCTTTTTTGTAGGTGTGACTGTACCTCCATGTCTCGCTCTGCTTATTTCAAAGTTGACATTTTACAAGTTGTTTAGGAACTGTTGAACCATGAAACTATTTTTCATTGTCAAAAATGCTGAACAGTGAAATAAAGACTAGCCTTCACAGTTTGCCTCTTTATTTTATAATCTAGCTGAGTGACTAAATTTGGATCGGGAATAAGGGACTGTCTCCTCTGGGAAACGAGTTCTTCCCCCCACCCCCACTGCCCACAGGTTTATGACCATTTCAATGTAAATACAGGAATATGTGAATGATTTAAGAACATAAACATATCACCACTTGCACATAATCACGTGCATTTTACTTGAAGCACAGTATGGGTTGGGAACAGGCCTGTGAATAGAGTTGTTTTCATGTAAATGGGATCAAGGAGTGCCACTGGTTAGCCATTCAGTGAGTCAGACAATGCCACCCTTGCTGGAAATGCTTCAGTAAGAATTTAATCCATGCACCTAATATTCACACTTCAGCTCATGCCCCCTGTTCCTGTGGCCCACTCCAGATCTCATTCACTGACGGAGATAAAGGATCCTGAGACTTCACGTGATCCATTTAAGTGCGGCACTGCTTTCTGGCATTGAATATTTCGGGTTTCATCTTGGAGGCAGCGTGCACAGAGAGCTTTCTTCCACCCCTTTGCAGCATCCTAGATAATTCAGCATGGTCTGCTTGCCCCATAGAACCAGCATCTATGCAATAACTCCTGTGGGACAGCACCAAACCAACAGGATGTTAGGGTTGTGTGGCCCTCTGCACTTCACTGCCAGATGTAGCGCATGGATATTACACATCACTGTACTTTCCAAGTTTCTAAGCAGCTTACCCATCTCCCTGAGTATGAAGAGAGACCATTACCGAAGCATTTCTTTTGGAAATACTATCAGCGGCACTGTAAGAGTAGCTTAATGTTTTACATTTACAAATGGGAAATTACAGACAGGCTGACATTCTGGCACTTATAACACCAGGGGGAAAAAACTTAACCATCGAGTCATGCATAGAAAAAGCCATTTATAAAATGAAGCCTCAGGCATTTACTTCATTTGAATCCATAAATAATTCTTCCGTGGCTACCAGATGTGTGTGTATAAGATTGTATTGTGTTATATATCTGTAATGAAAGCCTTCGACCGAATATGTGCCGTGTTTATCAATTCTATAAGACCCTGTTGTCGGTCGGGTGGGAGGGAAAGGACTAGTTTTTAAACACGTTGTGCAGCTATTTTTAACCTAACTGAGAACATTAATCAGGAGGAGCTTAACTCTTGCTTCCTCCGCTAGTTCCTCCGGTACAAATAGGATGGCACGGTGTGACTGTCCATGGCACAAACACGACAAAGCCCGGCTGTGCTGATATTTGTGTGCAGAAAGATCTGACTGTAAATCTCTCAGCCAGACTCGCCTCTCCCTCCTCATCAGAGCCCACTGGGTGACCTGAATATGAACCTTCAAGAAGAGTCTGCCCTGTCCCTCTTCCTGCTGCTCCCTGAGCTGACTCTCTTGCTTAATCTGATCTAATCCTGTCTGAATTCTCTTCATCTGTGCAATGAAACCTAGAGGATCCGTTCTCATACTGGGTAAGGAAAGGCATTTACTAAATTACTTGGTAAATCACATGGCCTGGTTTGAGCTCCTTTTTGGTTAGATGGGGGACCAACATGCTTTGAGGCATGTTGTTAATGATCAGCTGGAAATCTAGGCTCCCCCATATTTGGAAAAAGGGGAGGGGCATGTCAGCAATCAGTGCAAGGTAACCATCATGGCTCTGGAAAACTGGGAATTCACAGCTCAAAGTACAACAAAATATTTACTGCAAAGCGTGCGCACGCACACACACACACACACATGCACACGGAAAATAATAGTAGTCGTACTGGGAAAAGGAGGAGGGATTAAAAAATCAATGCTAATCTCAGTGACTTTGGTGGAAAAGTTGTACACTGGAAATCATTCTTTAAATAATGATAAGGTTACATCCTGGAAAATGTATGTGTTTTCCTTCCTCTAGCTGAAGTCTGCTCTGGGTTCTGGACTTTGGGCTTGGGCTCATCAGTGTAACATAAGGTAGGCATGTGAACTTGTTTTCAGATCTAAAGCCATTGTCATCATGGTGAAACTACACGTAAGATCTTCCTCTCAACAGATGGAATGCCTGCTCATGGCCCATGGTTGCCATATGCTGGAATTCCTCAGACTGAATGAAGAATGCACCAAATTAGTGGAAACAAATACAAAGGCCTATGCATATTTACCCTGTAACTTGGAATCCAACTTCCACTTACAAATATATAATGTAGATTGGGCTAAGGTGCAAGACAAAATGTCTATGGTATATTTATTTTTTTAAAAATCAGATTAAGACAGAGGTGGGCATAAGAATAAAATGTGACTGTGTGCTCTTTGTGTTCGGTATGACTAAATATCAGCTTCGAGTGCACTGAAAACATTAGTTGTCAAATACACTTTAAGAAAGGCTACTTCCCCCAAGATATTCCACAGACACGTTTATCTGACAGAGCGCACATCTGTGTGCACACACCTTTATTTCCTCATATCGGTAGTCGGATCTCTCCCAAGAAGTAAGCTAATTGAGCTGTTTGTGTTGATAAACTCCTTTTTCTCCAGACTGTTCCTCTCCGAGCCATAATTATTTGCAATTTGCCTAAGTCGTCCATTTACTGATACGTCAAGCATGAAACAGAGGCAATTCCAGAAAATGGAAATGCTTCTGAAAGTCAATCTTTGGGAAATAATGTGGTAGAAGTTACTGTGTGACAGAAGACTACCTTCTAACTGTCACATGGAGATGAATATTAATTTGTTGAGGTTAAGGTAGCTTTTGTGCTTCATTTGTTGACTTGGCTTGGCCGTCAGGAAAGCAGTGCAGCCAATTACTCCAGTGAAGCTATTTTTTCCTAACAGGAGTTTTACGATTTTATGTACTTACCAGTCAGCACACATAACAATGTCAAAATGTCCTTCCAGTTGAGAGACGTCTGTCTCATTATCCCATCGTAAAACGCTTGAGGAGAAAAAAGATTTTAAAAATTATACTTAGGGTATTTTTTTTAACTTTTGATTTTGAGCTATTAACATTATTTTTTGTGGCACTTGGAATTATTTAAAAGGTATATACAAATTATTTCAAAAGATATAATAAAAAAAACCCTAGGATGTAACTGTCTTCTGTATTTTATTTTGTCTTTAAATACAGAAGAGGAAGAATTCTCTACTCAAATAGGAGAGTTGGGTCTTTGCTAGGTTTATAGGTTTTGTACACAGAGTAGGTCCTTATCTTGGGAGTGAGAATGACTCCTGCTCTTTCCTCATCGATGGCAGGAACAGTGACATCGAAATGTTCCCCATCCAGCTGGAATTTATAAAGAAATAGGAATTTATAGAAAACAAGTCATGTAAATTTACTGTGCCCTTATCTTGCCTGACACTGTCACGTTTCTTACTGATGCAGTGATGCTGTGTCAGGAAGGGAGGGGGAGGCACCCCCTGTATGTGGATGTCCTCAGGCCTTTAGTACATGCTGGAACTCCTCCCTAGAACAGTCTTCAAAAGGAGGCTCGGATATGAAACCTCAAGTCAGTAGCAACAGTTTACAGCATGCACTGGAAAACTCCAGCAACACACACGAAGCCAGCTGTGCTCTGTGTTCCCCCTAGCCGAGGGCTGCGATGATTAATGTTTTATTACAATAAAGCATTTCTAAGGGTGTTTCTCCTGAACACCAAAACTGAGATTTGTGTTACTAATTTTTTTAAGATTTATTTATTTACTATGTATACAGTTTTCTGCCTGCATGCATGCAGATTTCATTACAGATGGCTGTAAGCCACCATGTGGGTGCTGGGAATTGAACTCAGGTCCTCTGGAAGAGCAGCCTGTGCTCTTAACCTCTGAGCCATCTCTCCAGCCCCCTGTGTTACTACTTTTAAAAGTAAAATTTTATAGCTACTTTCTACTTTGACTCTTTAGAGATGGACTGAGTGATCATACCTTACCTGGACAATTATATCTGCTTATTTAGATGAAGTTTTCATTTCTTCTGTCTTCCCAGAGACAAAATCATGTTTGAGTACAAAAAAGAGACTTACTCCTGGTCAGTCCAAAACTTCCTTTCACACACATTGCCGGGTATAAGCAGTAATGACATTCTTAAGGTGGAGAAGCTCAAATGCATCAGCTCCTCACCAAGCAGGCCAAGGGCCAGCTGGTCACTCAGTCTTCTGGCTCACACTTACTGAGCACCTACTGTATGCTGTGTGTCAGGCCCTGTACTATGCTCCATCCAGCCTTGTCATTACAGAGAGAGGTGAGCCATCCAGACAGGCTAGGGAAGGCTTAGGAGGAAAAGGCTACCTACTGTGATCTAGGGGTGAGCTTTCTAAATTGCTCCTGTGTTTTTCTACTTCTAGGCCTACGGAAGAGCCAAGTGACAAAGGAGCCCAGCAAATCTCTTACAGACTTATGAGATGGATGCGTACTTTATTTTTGGATTCCTCAGGAGCTCCACGCACTTGGCAACACCAGTTTTCTGGACTTGGATATGGAGGCTCAAGGATTTTATAAGATTATATGAAAATAAGACGGCTTGAAACACAGTAGCTGGGAGTAGCGACATGTGCATAGAATCCCAGCATTTAGTAGGCAGAGACAAGAGGATTGTGAGTTTGAGGACAAAGCCAGCAACAAACAAAAAAGTAGAGCTCTATGCTAGGCCTTCACGAGGCACAAGTATAATATAGTCATCATATAGTTTTTGACAGAAAGTATTAAAATCACTTGCAATTTACCCTTTGTGACAACAACTACTTCTTAGATGCTTCTGATTCATGTGTCATTGCTAAGACAAAAGAGGTCAATGGCCGGGGACACAGTATGGAGTGAATACTGGATTCCTGAGGCACTTCAGCCTCCTGCTCCAGCAGAGGCCAGCTGCAGTGATGACGTCTAAGCAGCAATTGGCTACGGATGAGCTCAGAAGCTGGGATAAGTCATATCTCTAAAGGAAAGTGAGACACCACACATAGCCTCATAGCCCACAACACATCTCCAGGAGGCACTTCCCCTTGGGTTTCAAGAGGCTTTTGCTTAGACCAGGCTGTCCCTCTAACTAAAACCACGAGGTAGAACATGATGGTGGAGTTGGCACACCCCAGATCTGATGAGTTAGCCTTCTTTCTTGGAAAGACAGAGGAGACTTGGTCTCATGGACACACACGCACGCGCACGCACACACGCACATGCACACGAGACACTTTGGCTATGGAAGAAGGACCAGATCTTTTTTTAATGTTTCTGTCTGACTTGTTGCAGACCCTTGATTTTTCAAAAGTCAGTACAAATTCACAGATAAATGTGATTTCAAAGGGGAAAAGCCAAAACTAGGCAGTCAACTGGAGGAAGTGGGGGAAAGAGGGTAAGGCAGAAGGATCTCAAGCACCAGGGAAGTTTGGGCAACTCAGCAAGACCCTCTCTCAGGTTTAAAGGGGTAAGGGGGGGGGACTTGAGATGCTATCTCAGTGGCAGAGTCCTCACCATGAACCCTGGGTTCACTCTTTAGGATGCAAAAGAGCAAGGACAAGAACAACTCAGAGGGATCCATATCCACTGACTGCTACACTCATTTCAGTTTCTAAGCATAGCTTGTTATAAATGCAGAGGAGACCCGGGCTCCCAATCTTGTATAACTCTGGGCAAGCCCTGCTCTAGATACTGTCAATAACCCTCCATCACCGTCAGACCAGCCCTTCCTATCTTTCCCAGCTGACTTCAGGATGCTTTTCTGCCCCAGTCTCTGTCCACAGTCTCGGTCCTACCATCCTTCTCGAGTGTCCACAGTCTCTGTCCACAGTCTCCGACACTGCCATCCTTCTCGAGTGTCTACTTTCTCATCCAGCTCACACTCCATTTTAGTTAGTCCCTTGGGCACTTCCCAACTCCTTTGCCTCTGCCTTCCTTAGAGCTGCTGCTGCATAGCTCAGTGAGTGGTCCAGTCTGTCCCCATGTGCCTGAATGTGGCCACAGTACACACTTCCTTGCCTGGCTCACACCTATTCTAAACTGTCACCATCTCTCACCTGAATTATTTCAGCCTTTTAATTTGTCTCCCTGCTTCTGCCTGTCTCCCTATATCTCTGCCCAAGAAAACATCCAGATTGTTCCTGTTGAGGCCAGGTATGGTGGCACACCTTTAATCCCAGCACTCTGGAGGCAGAGGCAGGTGGATCTCTGTGAGTTCAAAACCAGTTTGATCTACATAGTTAGGACTACATGTATCTTGTCTCAAAACACACATGCACACATTCACACACCCACTCAAAAAACACCCCATATATTAGATCAGAAACTTTCTCTAGCTCACTGAGATAGTAACCACCCAGGACCAGATCCCTGTCATCAGGCCTGCTGATTTCACCTCCTGTAGCTCTCTCTCCTTCCTGCTGTGCTCTACATACAATGGCTTCCCCCTGGATGCTTAAAAGCACCAGCATGCTTCTGTCCTAGAGACTTTGTGCTGGCTTCTAGCTCTGACTAAGCACCTCACCTCCAGATACCCATGTGGCTCGAATTCACATCTCCAAGTCTTTGTTCAAGTGTCATATTTTTATAGTACGGGCTTCATTGATCATCTTCTTTAAAATCATCTTCGTATCCTTTTGGTCCAGCATTAGAAACACTTTATCTTATTTATTGCTTTTTTTTTCCCTAGTAACAATTAACCTTTATTGTGCTCTGTAGCTAAATCACTGACTTTGTTTATTCTCTTTCCCCTTTGCAACATAAGCATCACAAGGATGTTCTCTTAGTGTCCTACTGCTGTGAAGAGACATCATGACCAAGGCAAGCCTTACACAAGCATGTAAGTGGAGCTGGTTTGCGGTTTCAGAAGCTTAGCCCATTAGCATCATGGTGTGGAGCACGGTGGCCAGGAACATGGTGGCAGGCATGGCAGGCATGGTGGGCACGGTGCTAGAGAAGTAGTTAAGAGCTACATCCTGATTCACAGGTAGATCAGGAGACACAGGGCTTGGCTTGGGCTTTTGCAACCTCTAACAAGGCCACACCTCCTTTGAATCCTTTCAAAAGGTTCCATTTCCTATTGATGAAGCATTCAAATATATGAGCCTATGGGGGGGGGGTCATTCTTATTCAAACCACCACAGATGTCGATGATCTTTAAATTCTGTGGAAACTGATGTGTATCCAGTGCCTAGAACAGCACATGATAGCTATGCTGTTAATATAATATCTGAATGAACACCATGTCTAGCATTCAGAAGGCATTCAGTAACTGGAGGTTCTTGTTTTTAAGCTGTTCTCTGAATATATATGGAACCTAATGAAAATGCTTTCTGAAGACTTCTGCTTCCAGCAAAGATGAAATAACAGGGACCTCTTTTGCATCTTAACCCAAATCAACTGAAAACAAAACCATTTAGAAAATATATTTAGAAAGAACACACACATACAAACACACACACACACACACACACACACACACACACACACACACGGAGCAGTTCTGATGCTAAGGTCCTGTTCCCCAATTGGTTCTTGATCTGTCAGTAAAGAAAGCCATGGGCCAATTACTGGGCAGAAGGGACAGGCGGGACATCCTGGTCTCTGGAGGCAGGCAGAGGGATGCAAGGAAGGAGAATGGCGTTTGCCATGCTTTGGAGAGATGAGAACTCAAAAGGAGGGGGGGAGTTAGCAACTGAAGAATAGGGTAGGTGGGAAAGACAGAGATAAGAAATTGGTAAGGGCATGCTTTTCCAGGTGGGAGATAGTAGCGCCCAACAATTGTGCCAAGAAGGCAAGTTGAAATTGAACAACTGTGCATGTGTCTTTTATCTGAGGATTCAAGGGAAGCTGGTGGGAGGGGGCTGGTAGTGCGGTCACTTCCTGGAGCAAAGGCAGGGAGTCTCTCTCTCTCTCTCTCTCTCTCTTTCTCTCTCTTTCTCCGTCTCTCTCTTTCCCTCCCTCCCTCCCTTACACACACACATAAAC